AAAAAAAAAAAAAAAAGGTCGTTGAATTCGCCTCAACAAATGTCATCGCACTATGAAAAAAAAATATACCACTTAAAAAACTGAACTTGATTTTGAAATTTCCCCTCACCACTCGATTGCAAAAAAATAATTTGCATCATATGCTGTCCTCCTTCATACCAAACATTTTTTTTATAGGTTCAGTCCCTCACAGATATTCCAATTTTTCAAGATAAAGGAAATACCCTGTATGTATGTTCATACGTATATATTACTTACTTAGATCTAAGCATTCCCGCACAGAAATTTCCAGTTCTAATGTTCGCACTCGCGTGACACGCATAATGGAATTAAAGGGACACGAAATTTTGTCTCCATTATTTACAATAAATGTCTATTAGTGTCCTTGATTTCAATTCCTACCACTTATAGCGTAGTGATATAATACCAGTCCCAATCGATACAGTAGTATGTGACACGAAAATGATAACGGGGTTCTAGAACCCCGTGGTCAAGTGACAAAAAGATACATTGTATGAGTGGTTTACTTTATATCTCGTCTGTGGTCTGTTACATTGTCCTGCGTATACTGATAAGTGTAAATAAGAAACAATATTTTTCGCAAAATATTTATGTTGTAATGTAAATAATTAATTAAATCAAAAATACAATTTTTTAATTCTGAAATACGTTGAATTATACGTTGTTTTTATTTTATTTTCTGAACTATATTCTTTACTATTGCCAATGAGAATACACGCGCTTTTAAAACAAGACTTTCTATTTATTGTATTCATTTTTTATTGTTTAGCGAACGCCTCCATAACGAAAACTTGATATTGACGTCATCATTTAAGGTTTATTTATAAAATTTCTGAGGTTATACGTATTCTGAATCATCGTTATCTACGCCTGGATAATAATTACCGGTATGTAATGTATTGTGTGATGCTGTTTTTAATAAAACTATATAACTAAACAAATAATTTTAATAATATGATATGCTAATAAATTTTTCATATTAACTGTACATTCGGTTTAAAATAATTCTTACTAGGTTTTATTCAGGTAATTAACACAGTGTATATATCAGTCCTTAATTTTATT